GGTTGTCTGAGAGCATATCACAGAAATGTCCTCAAATTTTTAAATTATAAAATGAAATTTTATCAAATAAATGAAACAATCCTGTAACAATTAACCATATCAACTGTTACCGATACAGACCTGGTAATATTCAGTTATTTATTTGTACAAACCACTGTACGAGTATGAGATTAATTAAAAGAGATGCAATGCTGCCATCTAGTGGCTTTCATTTTAATATACAGCCGTTTATCTCGAAAATAATTTTTAGGTCACATCATTTGGGGGAAACCCAGGCATTGCGTTATCAGGTTTTCATTATCAGGGGGAAAAAACGATCACAATTCTTACAGAAATTAGATAATATGCTAATATCAGACATCGCTAATTATAGTACTGTACAGTACTGGTCTGACGCAGGAAAGGTAGAAATGTTAAAGTCCAAATCCCTGGGGACAACAGTCATGAGCAGCCGTTTACGTCTCTGAGACAATGAAACATTTCCAAACCTCCTGCAGGTGAATCTCTCTGCTGGTCAAGCTGCCGATCAGCCCCGACGCCTTCACCTCGTCCAGCTGGTGCCAGAGTGTGCATGGAGTCACTCTGATAGGTTGGGCTAAAGGTGAGGGGCAGGTCACCTCAGCAGACCGCAGCAGTGGCTGTGAGACCTCAGGTGGACCGCTGGGACTGAGGCAGGACTGGACACTCTGCAGGAACTCAGGCGAGATCAGCTCCGACAGAAACGTCTTGTCAAATCTGAGCAGATCTTTCCTCACCGCCTGCAGACAGTAGTCCTGATACAGAGGGACTGAGGAGCAGAACCAGAGGACAAACCTGATAGGCCCGTATCATTTATGACATAAAAGATTCAAGTCAAATTAGATCAGCAGGTGATGCTTACAAATATGCATGAACTTCGACTGGAATGTGACTCCCAGAACTTCCTTATCAGGATCTTCTTCCCTTGTGTTCCCAAACAACAACAACAACAGTTCTAAAAGTAAGTACATTTTCCACAGATTTGTTTTTCCTTATAAAAAGATTTGCTTGATTTCTTTTCTCACCCGTTAGCATCTTTATCCTGGTCGTCAAACGAGGAAAAAGACTGGTCTTCATTGGGCTCCGAGGCTGAGAACCTTTTCTCCGGAGTCCACGTTTGTTTTAAAGCCACCGACATCAGGGCAGCAGATATATCAAACTGAGGGAAACTAGAGAGGAAGAAACACGTCGTTGTGTTAATATTTATGACGGTTCATGAGGATTATCTCCAGAAGGTGGACTGGTTCACGTCTTTACCCGTCACTCTGCGGCCGGTGTGGAGAGCCGTCGTCCTCCTGGGCAGGAAGCTCAGACCAGCCTCGTTCTTCAGTCTCTGTGGTTTGTGTTTGTGGCAGGAAGACGTCCATTATCCGACTGAACTGAAAGGTTGGTACGTCAGGCTCTGGCTCTGGCTCTGGTTCTGCCATGACTCCGGGGCCACAGAGTGTTTCTCTCCTGAAACACAGAAGCGTCAGACGGTGTTTTCACAGCACACGGCCGTGATCAGGAGAGTGACAGAAGAAGCTGCAGGTGTGTCAGGGTGGTGCAGCAGCAATCACCCAAAGGTGATGCAGGTGTGTGTGTGTGTGTGTGTTCCCTCACACTTCAAGGACTGTGGGATAAAAATATATGAACAGACTGTGATGATAAATCAATTCGACTGGTTTTGAACTAAATCACCACAGAACAATAACAGAGAGAAAACACAGCAGAAAAGAGTGTAAAAACCTTAAACCTAGGTGTGGTGTTCAGAACGAGTGCAGTGTCCTGGTTCTTCTTCAGCTCCTGTAAAAACAAAAACACCAAAAAATCATCTCAGTTTTTGGATCTATGACAGTTCGTATTTGTAGGCTCACTCTGGTGCAGGGATGCGACCCTATCCTTACATTCTTGTATTTTTTCTTCTTTCTGTTCTTCTCAGGGTCACAGGAAGGGGGCGGAGGTCAGCCTGGACACACTGTCCATTACAAGGCAACACACAGAGACACATAAATATTCACACCTATGGTCACTTTAGAGCAGGGGTCTCAAACTCTGGCTTGTGGACTACTATTGACCCATGTATATCTGGTCCTCAACTGGACGTCAGTGATGTAATCTGGCTCATTACAGACATGACATTCAGACTGTGGTTGTTTTTCTTACACACAAACATCTTCATCCCCAAAACAGTTACCAAGGGAATTGAACCGGTGATCTCCTTGCTGCAGGGTAAAGGCACAAACAACTTCACCATCACCGTGTTGGTTTGATTTATGGCAAGAACTTATCATAAAACATTCATATAAAAATGCAGGATTAAATAAGACAGAAATCTGAATGTAATTCTCGGTTCCATTGACGACGGTGTGATTCTATAAAATGTTAATTTTGGAGTTAAAAACCAAAACCCTGGACCTACGGAGAAGATGGAGGAAGCATCAAAAAGTACCTTCAACAAGTTGTACAAATAGTTGCTTCATTTTATTTGTTGTTTAAAATTTCATAAAAGTAAATAATTCATTCCGCCTGAACAACGTTGATATCTGACCTGAACAAAGATTATACAGATTAGAAAAATGAACAAACACACACTGGGATGTTTTGACACATAACCAACTCTCTGAAGTGGATTTCTGAACAGATCTGTGATGGAGCCATGGCAACGCTTTCAAACTGAAGGAGACGTTCTCACACTCACACACACACACACACTTTCTAACACACACACTGATTTTCAGGAAATTCCTTCACCAATCACACAAAAAACACTTCCCTAGAAATGTGTCAAAATGATTTAAATTGTGTGGACGATCTCACCGCCCTGAAGAGCAGTGGAACATTTTTAGACTCTCCACAAAATCAACCTTTTTGACACGACAAAATTCAGACGTTAGCAAAGCAAATGACTGAGATGGAGCCGAGGATCAAAAACCATTCATATACTGGACAGTGGACAAAGTGTCAACGTACGACCAAAAAAGAGAAATCTAAATAAAAACATGCGTACGACCAAAAAAAGAGAAATCTAAATAAAAACATGGATCAATTCATACCAAAATGTATATAAAAACATGAAATGGGTGGGCCCCAAATCATCTGCATGCAAACACACCTCACATATTTATTATACCCATAAAAGTGTTGTCAAATGTCCTGTTTGTCCCTGGGTCGTCTCTGTGACGGACCAAGAGTCAGAATTTCCCTGTGTTTCGATGCTGAGACATCTGGATCAGTAACAAGGTATAAATAAAACAGATGTCCAGTGGGGAGCCTGGAGACTCGGGTCGGGGGGGTGACTACATGGGCACAGTGATACTGCGGGCGAGCAGTGCCAGCAGAGCCAGCTCCACAACACCGTCAGCTTGTTCCAGTGCCTCTGCAGCCTCGCTGGCAGAAAAGCCCGCTGCCTGGATTCTCTGAATGTGCTCAGCTGGAAACTGTTCTACAAACGGGTGAGGAGACGGCAGACGGGGGGCTGCAGATGCCGGCGGGGGAGCCTGAGAAAAAGGAGGAGCGGAGGAGGAAGAAATGTTGGAGTCTTCATCTGGTGAGGCCGCCGCCATTGACAAAGGGCCGAGAGAGGTCCGCTCGCTCTGGAGGTCAAGGGTCTCTGCTGCGTTGGCTCCAGAGTCATGTCCATCCGCAACCCCCCGCTCCGGCTGCCCCTCTGGAGGTTCCCTGAACTCCAGGTCTCCCGCAAGATCAGCAGAAGCTCCGGGCTCAGACAGAGAAAAGACGACGACGTCGGCCTCATCTGGCTCACATCCTTCTGTCTTCGTTTCCGTGGAGTCATCCTGACGATGAGGTGGTGGCTGTGTCGCTCTGCTCTCTGAGTCGTGACACTCCAGGAGACACGCCTCCTGGTCACAGAGACCAGGGACGCCACACTCGGATGGTCCCCCACCTGATACAGCAGCGTGGTGGTTAGCTTTGGCTTCACTAGGTTGTGCACCAGATGTAACGGCTGCAGACGGGCCAGGCTGAGCGGCGTCCGGTGTCAGGCTGCGTGGCTGAACGGCCGCTTCATCTGCGCTCTGTCGGAGTGGATCTGAGGGGGAGCAGGACGAGCTCCGGTTTTGAGATGGGTTGTTGTTGACCAGCAGCTCGTGGAGCTCCTTCAGCGCCGCCGCCAGCGAGGGGATGCTGTCGGACCTGGAGCAGAGCTCTCCTTCAGGCTGGTCCCTCTCAGGGGTTACTACGCTGGACTCCATTTCGACCGACTCCATTTCCACTGAGCCCGGTTGGTCCAGGGTGGAGTCCTCGGCCTGGGAGTCGGTCGTCTCCTGCTCCATGGGCTGGACGGAGCAGAGCTGCTCTGGAGGTGGAACATCTGAGTGGTCGAGTTCTTCAAAAGGTTCAGCGTCACCTGTGGTGTTTGTACAAAGTCTCTGACTCTCTGTATGCTGAGATGACACGGACACACCTGCAGGTGGAGCCGGTGAAGGAAGGACATCGGGTGAAGGACATGGTTCTGGGGACATTTCGGAATCGCACTGGACAGTCTGAGGGTGGAGTTGGACCGGGGGGGTTGTCGAATCAACAGTTACTGTGGGGGGTGAAGGCGGAGCGACCTCCTGAAAACTAGATGATTCTGGCCTCTGGTCCGAGGCCGGAGCCCGGTTCAGTGTGGCTGGAGGAGACTCGGACCGATCCGCAGTTTGGGGCTGGTCGCAGGAGCTTTGGGTTGACGTGGATGGAGCTGTTGGGTCTAATGTTCTGGCTAATGTAAATGGTGCAGGCTGAGGTGAGGTAGTTTGTCCATCTGCAGTGTCTATTGCAGCAGAGAATAGAATTAGAATCACGAGAAAGAAGAACAACATGTCACGGGGTAGAAGTGTTGAATATCTGTCTACTGCACAAATCAAATTCAACCAAAACAATCCAGCAACAAAACGGCAAAACAAAGTGATAAAAAGCAATGAACTAAGCACTGGCCATGGACTTGTGAATTTCCAGTACCTGTTTGGTGGGGCCCTCTCCAGCTGTCTCCAAATGCATCAGTGTTGTCCTGTTCAGGGGTTAAGGCACACACCACACACATCATGCAAAGGGACGGAGAAAGTTAGCAGTCACACACAGAGCATGCTCCAAGCTAACGTTTACGTGCCGTGTCCCACAGAGGTCACAGCACGATCACAGAAAAAGAAACTATGACCAAGTTCATCGATGATGATGCTGATGCTGATGCTGCTGCTTCTCAGAAAAATTAGTTCAATCTCTATTTATCAGGGCTGTAACGGTACATAAACAGATAAGATATTTTCAGAATGCGTTGAGGGTAACCATGGTATTGCAATATACCAATAATATTTCTACTTTATTAAATTATAACCAATTAACAGACTAATCCAATTAATTAGCACATCATTGAAATATTTTTATTATTCTGACTATAATACAATAAACGACACATTTTCAGACTTGGTTCTACTCTCCGCGCTCTAGTGCAGGATGTGTGACGTTCGTAGGAGTCTGTAATAAAACAACAACTTTCAGCAGATTCCCCCCCCCCCCCCCCCCCCCCCTAAGGTAACATAAGAGATAAGATAAGACTTTGTTCATCCCACACAGGGGAAATTTAATAATTTACCGTTAAATGATTTAAATTCACACCAACTCTTTCATTTTCTCATTATGACTCAGTGTGGCGGTGAGATGAGATGATTGTTTGATTTATAAAATGATCCATTAATGAAACTGAGAGTAAGAAGCTAGAGGGAGCACATGCAAATGTGGAACTAACTAAGCCCAAACGAAAGCTGAGTGAAAACCAGGCTGAAGGTCAGAGAAGACAAACTGTTTCGTACCACTCTCTTGTATGGACCTCTGAAGAGCCTCCGCCAGCTCCCTGTCCGCCATCTCGTCTGGACGAGCTTCTTCTCGTCCCTCGGCTCCGTATGCCAGGCGGGCACACTCCGGCAGCTCAGCCTCCGAGAGAAAACGTGTTTCCGTGCCGGTGGTGCCGATGAGGAGCACGCTTTTCTTCAGGTCGATGGAACACTAAGGGAAAGACAAAAAAAAAAAACAACACCTCAGGTCTGTGTGTACAACCCACACTCAGTTGTAGGGTGCGGCAGAAGAGCATCAAACCTGGTGCCTCTTCAACATATCCAGGCCAAGCAGCATATCCATAGGTTGGTCTTCCAAAATGGAGAAAGAACAAGGGAGGAAGTCTCCCTCTATCTGGACCTGAGCTGGACGAGGACCACGAAGACAACACAGTTTTTACCCATAATGCAATATCATACATATGTTTATACATACAGTTCGCTAGCCCAGATTTGGGGAGCGGACCGCCAGTTGATGATCACTGACGTAACACTTTTTTTTTATCTTTACAGATTTTTTGGACTAGAAGACAAAGATACCAACCCAAATGAACTCTGCCTATAATCTTCTGGGTGCCCACTCCTTTGGCGATCCCGGCCCAGCGTCGATCCACCAACCGCATGATGTTGCAGCGCTCAGCACACGCTTGGCTCATTATGGTCATCTGAGCTCCTGAAAACAGGAAGTGTCAATCTCTATGATTTTAGTTTTGAGTATAACTGTTACATTTAATCTCAGTACTGAGTCATAGATGTTTAACAAGATTGTAATAAAATTATACCAAACATAACGTCAAGCGTCTCGACCCAAAAAGCTGTGGCTAAATTGTAGATCTTAGCGCTGATTACCTGAGTCGACAAAAGCTTTCACTGGGTGACCGTTGACTTTACAGTTAATGTAGAGCATGACGACCTGACCGAAACTCTCGGGGGCCTCCTCCATCGCGATGGTCATGTTCTCCTCAACATTGTGCTGTCTGCAATAGGGGAAATATTTACTAGTAGAATAACAACGGATATCACGCACACATAGACACAGTTTGGTCTCTGTGTCTACAGAACCCAAAATCATGTTTGTACGTCATATTTGTCTGGCCTACTTGAACAATAAACAACAGTGTCTGTAGTGACAGTCGTGAAATTCACAGCTCACGGTCAACAAACTGGGACAGTACCTGATGTCCTCCTCTATCTTGGCCTGAGCCTCTAAGTCAAACGGATCTGCAGTCAGAAGTCTGATCCTCTCCTGCTCTCTCTTGGCTCGATCCTGCTGTTGCTCCAGCAGCACTTTGGTAAAACGTTCTGAGGACAGTTGAACCAAGAGTTAAAACTCCCGAGGCGACATCACATTTTACCGGAATCAAAAGAAACATGAAGTTAGAAAATATTTCACCCAAGTTTCCGCTCAGAAGAGCTTCAGCCAGCGGTGGGTTTCGCTCCTTCAGGAGTGACAGCTCATGTGGATTCGACAACAACATTTGCTGGAGTAAGGCAGGGTTGTCCATCCCCTGGGGGGAGGAGCCACGGAAGGCCATGGGTGTGGATGGTTGAGGAGCACGCTGCTGCTGCTGCTGCTGCTGAGGCTCCCGCTGAGGCTGAGGCTGCCGCCGCTCGCGGCGCGGGGGGGGTGGGGCTGACTGTTTGAAGACGAGGTGCCTGGTACAGTGATTGATCGGAAGTCAATATGGGGCAGACCTAGGAGACAGAGGGGGTAAAAATGTAAAGGTCACTGCAAAATGGTGCTTCATTTATAATCTGTATTTGTGGATTTGAATTTTCGACGATGTAGAATCTGAATCTTGTACAGTCCAGCTTGATGTCGTCATCTTGTACATGCCGTATTTAAACCAGACTTTGCATCACCTGGAAAGGCTGGCTGGGTGGGTGGTGGTCTCCTGTCAGCTTGCCTGAGAATGACCACATCTCCGTCTTTTACTCCATAGTTCCCCAAGGCACGGGTGGGGTCTTTGAGGGGCTGTTCTATGTATGTGATCTATCAGGGAAAAAAAACAATGTTAAGATTGTGGATAACACATCTGTTACACCTATATGGCACAGTTTGGTACACTGCACAACATTCCTGTGAATTATGTGAAGGATAACAATGTGACCCCCCCCCCCGGTGGGGACAGTATCACCTGAATACACTTTGCTGTAGCAAAAGGACAAATAAAGACATTCTGTGTTTTCAATTCCTTGACAATCACAACACTTAAATATGATGGGGTTTTTTTTTGTAAAATTTACATTATAGTGTTTTATGTGTGATATTGTCAGTGTTTTTTAACTTTACCAAGGAATCCAACAGGAATCAAGGAGACAGACATGTGCAGGGACATAAATGCTAAGGACAATGTCCAAAGAGCAGAGAAAAAAACAAGAGATTAGTGGAGTCTGTCTCGACACTAGGATGAAATATTTCTTTGTATCAGATTTTCAGACAACAATAATAATAAAACCCTTTTCAGATAAAAATGACAGTTTTGATTATAAATTTATGTTAACAACATTTTTAATTTTGTCTCATTGATGACCTGACAACAGGTCACATGTTTCACAACATCCTCCGTCAATGACACAACTCTATCTTCCAACACAAACTGACATAAATGTTTGTCTGTTCTGTCAGTGACTACGGGCATTTATTGGCACAAGATAAAGCTGTGGGTTTATTATTATATATTGAATAATATCATTTCACAAATAAAAACACTCTGGGGACAAAGTCAGTCATTTGAGAGACAACTGATGTCTTTGTATTTAAACAAATGTTTAACCTGCACGCTTTAAGCAGCTGGAAATCATTTTAATCTTTTAAATACATTGTTCAGTTAAAAAAAATACCCTGTTAATGCGTTTGTGCTCTTCGGGTTTAGCCACCAGTCCTGGACCTACAGTGTTGATGATTTGCAGGGTGAAAATTCAACCAATGTGTTTATAATTTGATGGTATATAGTGTGTAATTTACGTGTACTTGCTTTTACACTTTATTTTAATAAACGTTACTTCGGTAATTCACACAGATGCATATTTAACTGGAAAAGGCAAAATGTTAGAGTTTACGCTGAGCTGAAACATGTACCAACATGAACGACTTTTTTTTTAACTTGTTTGCATTCATTCAGTGATTTAGTTTAACCTACTGCCTGTTGGTAAGTTAAAGTATTACAAGTGTTTCACAAAAGAAAAGGTTTACCTTTAATCTGTGCTACAAAGACTGATATGACTTTATTCTGGTGACTCGGTCACTAAGGTCTCAGTTTACAACAAGCCTGGACTTTGTCTCACGCAGTACGTGTTCACTTTTCTACACGGCAGTTCGCCTGTTGTCGTCTTAACCTAGAGTCGAGACACCCACAGCGACAAGTGACACTTTGAAGCCCGACCTGTGATATTTTTGGTCTGACTTTGATGCCTGTTACGCAACACTTCATCCGTCAAAACTGCTCGTGTCCGATTCATGCTAGTTAGCCACCATTAGCTGCATTAGCATTGCGGCCGCAGAGAGAGAGAGAGAGGGAGAGAGAGAGAGTGTCTAACCTGGATTTCCCCTGCTGGGATTCCAGACTCCAGTTCGCAAAGTGCTACAAAGTCTCTCAGCTCCAGTTCCGGGGACACGTCGAGGGCGAAGGTGGACTCTGGTCGATCCCTCGGCGCACAGAAAACGGTGACTAGCATCGTTTTTAGAGGGGCAGAGGCTCAGTGTACAAACCCGCTGTAGGATTACACTTGGTGGAGTTCCTAGCTCACAGAGGGAAATTCGCTCACTGGTTACAATTACCCCGATTTACAGACGCACTTTCGACTGCAAACAACGTCGAATGGAAGACCAGTACGAAGAAGAACAGTGGCCGATTTTCACTTTCTGAACAAACCTCGTCTGACAGTTTCTCTTTCAGTATCTTAACAACATCGAATATATTTTTCTCAGCGGTGCCGCATTCAGCTTGTGTTACGGCATGTGCCGCATAACACAACCTACTGTCGTAAATACTTCTTTTCGTTTGAGGTGTACTTTACAGTGCTGCTGTCCCACTATCGCCCCCAATGGACTAATCGAAAACGGCACACTTTCTGTATGTGTTTGTGAATGAATATGAATAAAAAGTAAGTAAAATATATGAATAATTAAGGGAGATATAAAACAAGTTTACATTATTGTTACACAGTGAGAAAAAAACAAACAGGAAGAAGAAAAAAAGTTTTTTTTTACCTGAAGTTTGAAAAATATACTACTACTTAGTAGTAAGTCTAAGTCTAAATCTTATTTATGTGAACTATTATTTAATTAAATACAAAATATGTACTTAATGAGTACATTAAAGCAGAGATTAGAGCATCATTTTGATAAGTGTATGCAACTATGTTAACAAAGAGGTATAAAACAAACCAATCAATAATGAGGTTTCGCTACTGGCTGATAACTGATAACTGATAACTGATAACTGACTTTGTAAACCACATTTTGGTTTGGATGCTTTGGATGACTATCATTGTAGACATATTTAACACCTCCACTGTGCAGTTAAAGAACAATTCTATAAATACACCTTTGGAAAAAAAAGTCAAACAAACATGCTTACCACATCAATCCACTTCTTTTACACAAAGGTGCAGCTGACACATGCAAGCCATGTTGTGCACTTAAACGTGTATCTTGAACAGAGTGTGTGGTTGTTTCCTTTCTCACCTTGACTTGATCTGGCACACCAGAGTTTCCGACAAACAGCCGCAAAGTTTTTACCTTTTTTCCTGAAAAATAAGAAAACAAAGGTCGGCTAATGTAGAAACTGACTGAGGTGGCAACGCATCACAGGTGAAAATATTCTGCATACTCCAGAGAGATTCTTGTAGACATTCTTCAAGTATTTATGTCAAACTGATTTAACAAACAAAGGCATATTTAACAATCGGCCAAAAACAAGGACATTTGATCCACAACAACAATCCTACAATAAAAACCTGTCTGCCTTTATTTGTTGGACATTTGTCTAACAAGAAATTCAAACTATAAAAATACATACTCACCCACAAATATGTATGTATCATTACATATATACATATATATCTAAATACACACATATGTATCAATACATATATATATTTATATTTACATATTTATATTTACATCTACACATATTTGTATCATTACATATATTTATATTAACATACTGTATATGCATATATGTATCATGACATATATACATATTTGTATATATCTAAATACACACACGTATCAATACATACATATTTATATTTACATATACACATATATGTATCATTACATATATATTTATATTAACATATATACATACATGTATATATCTAAATACACACATATGTATCAATACATATATATTTATATTTACATATTTATATTTACATATACACATACAGTATATGTATCATTACATGTATATTTATACTAACATATATGCATATATGTATCATTACATATATGCATATTATGTATATATATAAATACACACATGTATCATTACATATATATTTATATTAACATAAATACATAACATATACACATATATTATGAATATATCTAAATACACCCATATGTATCATTACATATATTTATATTTACATATTTATATTTACACGTATACATATATGTATCATTACATATATACGTATATCTAAATATACATACGTATATATGTGATTATACGTGTGTGTGTAAAACATCATAATTCTACATGTTTTCACCTGTCTGGGCTTTTTTTCCCGTAATTGCAAGAAGAAAAAAACAGGAGAGTTTCCTGGCGAGGTGGGCGATTTTGTCGTGGAGTAATTTACGTTATGGTTTGTACGTCACGCTTTGCCACATAGAGTCTCAGCCACACTCTGTCATTGTCACTCTCTGTCATTGTCACTCTGTGCCTCAGGCGGGAAACACGCAGTAGCAGCTGTCGACACTCAGTCATGTTTCTGATCAGATGTCTTCTATTTGCTTTAACTCTATTTGCACTGGTCGTGAGTCAGGATGCGACTGCCGGTCCAAGTGGGTAACGCAGAACTTTGTTGTATTTCTTCTCATTCATAAATAACACTATGATGAACAATAACTATGATCTACACCTGTTTGAACAGCTCTCTCTCTCTCTCTCCCTTTCTCTCTACATACATATGCATATATACACATATATGTATATATACATATTTACTTTGCATTCATTATTATTTGTATTAATTTAAACCTGGTGTAAACGTTGGCTGTAAATATACAATCTGCGTTTTTTCCCTGTTTCGTGGATTTTTCTGAGAATATTTTAGGTTTCATTTCAAACTGTATTGTGATCGTGGATTTACGGCTAAACAAATAAATTGACCCTTACGTGTAATTGATGTTAGTGGTTTTTTGTTTGTTTGTTTCAACACTAACAACATGTTAGTGGTTTTTTGTTTGTTTGTTTGTTTTTCTTCTAAAACCACACATTGATGTGAATTGGTCCAGGATATACACTGAAGGCAGGTGAAGTTTGTCGTTCCGGATTTTACCAGGTCAGGAAGGACACCTGCTATCAGTGCACGGAGTGTCACGAAAGTAAGTGGATATAAATCGTGCTTTTTCCCGCCCTAACCTGTTGTCGGGGTTCGATGTCTGAGCCTCATATTAAAAAAGTGAATTTAATGCCTTTTTTTTTTTTGCTTTAGGTACTGGGAGCCAAACGGTAAAGGAATGCGCAAAATACAGCAACAGCCGATGTCAGTGTCGTCCGGGCTTCGTTTTCTGGCGGATGGAAGATCACTCGGTTTGCAAGTGTGACGTCGGATCTGGATTGACCAAAGGAGGTAAGGCTGAATACTCCCACAGTGCACTGCTGCCCGTCAGACGTTCTTGACCAAAACCAACTCTCTTTTTGCTTCATCCCAGAGTGTTCTGAATGTGAAGTTGGGTTTTTCAACACCGTCATCAACAACCCGTGTCAGAAATGGACAGTGTGAGTTGATTTCTAACCTTATCGATTCCTAACTGGCATCAGTAAAACTGCCCCCTGGAGGCGCCGAGTACTGAGTTGAACCCAGGACTCACTGCTTGTAAGGCAGTCATGCTAACCGCTACAATACAGAACCATGGATAACTTTAGTGGATAGTCCCTGAATAAAAATGTATCTTACAATAAATTCCAACTATCGGTCATGTGAAGGGACCGGTGCAGTAAAAACCACGTATTTCTCTTCTTACATTCCACTGTGAAATGTTCAGAAATGTGTTATTTAAGCCTCGAGGACGGACTGTTTAAAAAAAAAGTGTGGCAGCAAATAGTTCCAGTAAAAACCTCTGGATGTGCGAAGGTGTAAAACTTCTCACCAAGAAACTGTGTACATGTGTACAAATATTACACAGACTGGAGGGTTTTTTTCTTCTTCTGTTCTTTCAAAAATCCCTCGTGTAAATCGAACAGGATTGGTTATGCAGATCTCCTTTTCTAGAATGAAAACCATGTTAAAACAGCTCGATCTCAGTTACGGATATGAATTGATCAGTTCTGACTCACCGGAGCAGATAGTTCTACCCACAGTCTGCGCTCCCACTCCCTTATAAGGTTCGAGTCAGATAAGATCGTCTACCACCAAATATACATCACACAAACCGTATGTGAAACACACACTTAGATGTCGTAGGCCGTAGGTCGGGGCAGAATTTATGGTCATATCATATCGTATCAGAAACCGATGCAAAAATTTATGATCATATCGTATCAGAAACCGATGCAAAGAACCGCGGAACACTGAATGAACAATGTTAGTGAACGGAGTTAATGTCAAAGAACTGTTTTCTGATAAACGATGATCCACATGTTCCCGGATACCGGCGGCCGAAACTAGCTTTCTCCACAGGGTGGCAGGGCACTCCCTTAGAGGTAGGGTAAGGAGGAGATTCCCGGTCCTGGATAAGTGGACAAAGATGGATGACGTTCCACACTGTTAAATTACACCACAACAGCATAAAATAATGGTCCTCTCTTTAAGACGTCTCGTAAACAATTCTTAAGAAAGTGTTTTTCCTTCGTTCTGACGAAGAAGACGGGTTTGTTTACATTCGCCCATTGTACGCCATATTTATTTTCTTCGTTTTCGTCTTGACGTCAAGTCTTCTGATGGCTTCGCTTGTCCGACCAAACTGTAGAGACGATAAAGAATTCAACAGCACACGGTTCCCCGTGACTAACTCCATGTCAAAGAAACCGTCAGTTTCCGTTTTTCTACATAGTTCGTCATCTATAATTACAATTAATCCGACTTACATCACCGCCTGGAGACGAACCCCGACCTAAGTCGAGGACCTCCTGTATAATATGTTAACAATGCACATCAAAACACTGAGGTAGCCATCACTGGCGCCACCTTGGGGCCAAAACAAACGAAATCAAACGACTGTCTTTTAATCATTTAACTCTTTTTTTTTCTAGCTGTAAGTCAGGAGTCAACATCACGGGGTCCCGGACCAGAGACGTGGTCTGCAATGAACCAAGTACCCAGCAAACCAAACAAGATGTAAAAACAACCACCGCTGTCGCCACCGCTGCTGTCGCCACATCTGCTGTCGCCACTGCTGCTGTCGCCACAACCGCAGTGTCGCCGGGACAGGAAGTGATCAGAACACCACGAGAAACAGGCGGCTCTTCTCATTCTGGACACTACGGCAAACACACAGGTACAAAGTTTGTGGGTTTTTTTTTTTTGATTACACTGAATTCATGGAGTAAATATGACAACAGTTTTAAAAAACGTTCTGATCTGTGCAGGTGTCGTTCTCTTAATGCTTGGAATCTTCCTCCTGGTTCTACTGACGGCCGTGGTGTGTAAACAGTACATGTCCCCGGGGCCGCAGACCAAGCCAGAACTGGAGGGGTAAGACCACGGCCACCAGAGTGACCCCTCACTGGTTTACTGTGTGTGTGTGACGTCACAGTGTAAACCACACTTTGGTCGAATTGACCAATCGTGGACGAGTATGACGTACGCGCTGCTTGTTCAGGCTGTAGAGCATACGTGTCAAACTCAAGGCCCGGGGGCCAAATGCGGCCCGCCCAGCCCTATTGTGCGGCCCGCGGGAGCTTAAATAGCATTTAGTAAAGTCCATGCAGCAGTTTCCTAACTCTTTTAGACTCTATTCTGTTTGTGTCTGAATGACTGACATATTATTTTAAAATATTATCAGATTATCTTTAAATAAAGAAAGTAAATGGATATTTAATAATAAACAGGATTTTAGTCTGAATGAAGTAAATTTGTAAAAATTAGGCACATTTGTGCGTTTCACTGTTGCCCGGTACCAAATGACCTATGGACCGGTACTGGTCCGCGGACCAGGGTTTGGGGACCACTGCTCTATACAGTCTTCCAGTTACAACCGGCCCTTCAAGGGGAACTGTATTGAAGATGTGGCCCCCGGTGAAAATGAGTTTGACACCCCTGCTGTAGAGTTTCTTCATCGTAATTTCTTCATGTATTTATGATTCCATCATGGAGTACAGTCGTCCCTCAGTGGATGATGACCAGGGACCACTGTAGTGACATCTGTACCTCTGTACTGTATAACTGATGTGCCAAAGCATTTATCCAAAGCGACTTATTTACATTATCAATCATGTGGTTCCTCTGGGAATCGAACCCTAGACTCTCTGTGATGTGGACATAGGAAGCTGGTCTAATATCTCTTTGATCAACATGTAAAAATACACAGTGAGTTACTGATATTTTTTTAATACTTACTGCCTGAATATCTGCAGTGAAGGAGTCGCAGTACGGGCGTCCAGTGGAGGAGAGCGGCGACGGCAGCGAGGCCTCCGTCAAACAAAACCTCATGGAGCCCTGAGGAGACTCCACCTCCCCCCCCCAACGATCGCACTTCAGCAGATACTGTGAAATTACAACACAAAGTATTTTATTCAGAACATACTGTCAAATACACACTCTCTCTCTCTCTCTCTCTCTCTCTCTCTCTCTCTCTCTCTCTCTGTATTTTGTTCACACTGTTGTTTGGTCGATATTTGACCGGCTGTATTAACGACACGTTAACGATGTCAGCGACTGCTCCGTCACGTCCATGTGACTGTGGGATTCAACCACATCTGCTAAATGTTTTATAAAGTATTCAGGATATTCGAGGTACGTTACAGAGGCAGTACTGCAGTCAGAAATACTCGTACTTGTACGTCTGTGTACTTTGACTTTTGAGGTGCCACTGAGGTTTACACGTTGCTGCAGCTTCTCAGGCTGAACGACGTGGTATGATGTGAAACTTACTGAGAAATGTTGTTGTTTTTTTTTTTGTTTTTTTTATTAGAGCGCAGTACCAGGTATTTGTCTTTTCTACTGTCTTCATGCACCTTCTGTTCCATCGTGTTTTGCATTTCTTGTTCCGTTGCACCGCGGCTGATTCTGTCCCACTGCACAGTGACGCACTCTCAGTTGCCTGTGGGGTGGGAGGGGTTTCCCCCCCGACGCCTTGCATGTTCCCACTGAAAACAACTGTTGGAGAAACTGACAGTTGTTTCTAAATCACTGCCCTGTTTTTTTTCCACATTACTTCATCCACGTATATTTTTTCTGTCTTGTTTACGCTTAAAAAAAAACCCCCTTAAAAACTCACCTGTTATTGTTTTGACTCTAAGCTGAATCTTTACTGTCCCGTCTGTCACGCATCATCCAGCTGTTTTTGTGCCTCTTATGAAACATGTTGCAGTTATTCTGCTTAATACCACAGTGGTAAAAAGTAATTAATTATATTAATTAATTATTTAAGGCAATTATGAAGTCAAACTGCTTCAATTGAACCATTTAATTGCCATATTTATAGTTTGTGTCATTTCATTGGACTCCTCTCTGTCAGTGTGTGTGTTGGAGCATCAGTTTGTTAACTTGTTAAAACAAATAAAAAGTTTCCTTTGTGGGCTCAACTGGAGCCCCGAACCACAGGTTTGGTTTATGTTCTATTGGAAGAACAGTGTAGTTTTTCATTCAGTACAAGTACAATCAATGTTATAATAAATGTTATACATTTTATAATAAATGTTATAGTAAATGTTATAATAAACGTTATAATAAATATTATAATAAATGTTATATTAAATGTTATAATAAATATAATACATTTTATAATAAATGTTATATTAAATGTTATAATAAATGTTATACATTTTATAATAAATGTTATATTAAATGTTATAATAAACGTTATAATAAATATTATAATAAATGTTATAGTAAATGTTATAATAAACGTTATAATAAATATTATAATAAATGTTATATTAAATGTTATAATAAACGTTATAATAAATATTATAATAAATGTTATAATAAACGTTATAATAAATATTATAATAAATGTTATAGTAAATGTTATAATAAATGTTATAGTAAATGTTATAATAAATATTATAATAAATGTTATAATAAACTTGACCTACATTCCAGAGTGAAACATGACATCATCCATTCAACTGACAATATTAACAGCTCCCCCTAGTGTCTAATCGGCTCTCACGGGGGTCAATCTTTGTCTCTTTTTTTTTAGCGCTGTATTTCGTTTGATTTTTTTGTTAGACAGAACATTGAACATGTTGGTGCGTGGCGACACCTTCACTGCCAAATGTCACAACCTTCAACGAGCCTCACACTGAATCAGCAATCACTGAATCTGTGTTTTCCAACCGCCCTGACCACACACTGCTCACCGAGGGAGTGAGTGTGACGCTTGAGTGAGTAGGTGTGTGTGTGTGTGTTGGAGGACGAAACTGTGTCTCCGTTTGTGGCTTCACTCCATCACTTACAGCGTGTGTGTCTGCTGATGATGTCACTGAAAAGGAGCGTTTCATCCATGCAGGGTCTGGTGATGGAGAAGTTGGTGGTGCAGCCACACGGCCTGCTCTCAAATGTCAACTACATTCAGCACTGAGCAAGAATCGACCTGGAAGTTTAGCTCGACACATATTTAATGTCAACTGACTCAAACCTTCGACACCAAGACTTATTTTTACGAGGACGTTCACAACTGGTACGGAGACCCCCCCCGACCCCCTGACCTCCCGTGACCAAGGTGTAAACATCTGACTCAATACAGAACTCCACGTTTTCTGCCTGTACGTATTACTGAAGTCAACATCACTACAAACCACTTTCTGTCTCCTGAAAACAAACCTGGACGAGTGTGACAGAAAACTGTCGTAGCAAAGAAACCCTGAGGTCACTGCAGGGTCAGACCACATGACCACATGACCAGATGACCAGATGACCAGTCCATTCAAACAGCACGTCTATTGATTCACTTTACTCTTTTATAAAACTTCATCTCAAAGTTTTAACATAAAAAATATGGAGTTTTGCAAATGGTTATTTGAATTTTAATGTCTTTTTTTTTAAACTTTTTTTGCTGATTCATTTTTGTCGATACTGTTGTTAAATGATAAAAACGTTCCTGGTTCATAGAAATGTGAACAAACGCTGCAGTCAAGATTCACTGACGTTTGAAAAACAACATCAGACGAGGGATCAAACTTCAACTCTAACTTTCAAATTAACTAGAATAGTTATTAGATTAGTTTAGATTAGATTAGATTAGAAGAATAGAATAGACTATAATTTATTTCTAATTATTTTATGAAACATATACACTGAAATAAAAGGATGTAATTCATCTGTTTATTATTGATTTTACTTCTAATCTTGTTAATACACTGTTGTTGTTTTTTATTTTTTAGTTTTTTTTATTTAACCTTTATATTCGTGCAGCGTGTCAGTGATGTAGGTCACAGGTTTGTGGCTGACTCAGACACAGACACGTCTGTGGTCGGATTTCCAAAAATCACATACTTTATACTACATACCATATACTACATACCATATACTACATACCATATACTTTATACCAGTGGTCCTCAAACTGTGGTATGCGTACCACTAGTGGTACGCGGGGAAAATTCATATTTTCACATTTACATTTTCAATTGAAGACATTTTTATTTGATTTATTTTTATTTAATTTCTTTATAAACATCTCTCTTGTTTATCTCAGGCCTGCGCTGCTGTATTCTAATGTTGGTCATCATGGAATTTGAATTGAGATCATCTGTTTTTCTACACCACACTACACTGACAACAGACGGATCAGAACAACAGGCGTTTTGAGACTAATTATTTTAATAATTCATTATCGTAGATTTTCAGATTTAGCAGTAAAAAAGTTTAATTGTAATTTTTTTTAAAAAAGAACTAAATAAGTCAAAGACAAATCTGTCTGTTAATAAAGTCAACAAGGAAATATTCATTATGTTGGATTTTCACAAACACTAACGAAAACATTTTTACCACAAATGACTCTACAAATTAGTGTTGCGTAATGAAAATCCAACCATATTCATGGAGGGAGGGGAGATGCGGGGGGGGGGGAGGAGACTACACACAGGGGTTTCTGCTGCTGGTGGTCTTTCACTTCCTGTACTACTACAGATGACTCAGTCTCACACAGCGTCTGTCAACCGCACGACCAGATGCTGCCGACTCTGACGTCAGTCGACACAGAATAAAACCTGAAGACACCGACGGAGCGCCGGTCACAATGCTTTTCCTGAAGTCGCTGCTGCTTTTGCCCCTGCTGGGCTTTTGGAGGGTGAACGCCGGGGGCTGCGGTGACCTACAGGCCGAGATCAACGGACGCTGCTGTGACATGTGTCCTCCAGGTAACGCCCCCAACAGGACGGCGACTGAATTATCAGACAGTTAAAATGCTTGACCGGATTAGACACAGCAGCCAACATCATGGGTGTTCTGTTGATGTGGTTCTGAAGGAGAACACGTGGAGGTGTTCTGCACGCGGGACCGGCCCACCGTCTGCAGACCCTGTGGGAACGGTTCCTTCTCCAACAACTACACCGTGTTTGACAGATGTGAAAAGTGCCAGACATGTCAACAAGGTAGGAAAGTCAGAGAGAGATGCTCTGACCACATATCAGTAAATCCTAGTAAAAAGGTAAGAAGCCGGTAAGCAGCTGGTAAGCAGCCGGTAAGAAGCCGGTAAGCAGCTGGTAAGAAGCTGGTTCTCTGGTACTCGCCAATGTTACCTCTTCCTGTGGTTTTCAGAAAAATTGTTCACGGATGGAAAATAATGTGCTTGTGATTCTTGTCTGCAGAATACGAAGAAAAATGTACAGCGACCACAGATGCGAAATGTTTGTGTGACTTTGGTTTCCTGTGTTCCGACAACCAGTGTTCGAGCTGTGAGGAAAACAAATGTGTTCCAGGGGAGAAACTGAAGAGACGAGGTACGAGTGGATTCAATGAAAATTAAATGTCTCAAATGACACAAACTTCTCCAGTAAATTCACGTCACAGAACGGTGAACAAATATCGATGCAACTTTCTAATAAATATCAACAACAACAACGTTCCAACATTGCTCCGGTGATGTTGACGTGTTGACAACAAACTAAAAAACGGACTCCTGTGAAAACAGTTCACTGCGTTTCCATGGACACAAAAGAAACTGGCCAATGAGCCGTACTGTATGTGGCCCAGGAGCCAGGGGTTTGCTGAACTGAATTAAACTGTTTTGAGACAATTTAAAAAAAAAATATCCTGAAGGTGAAAAAAATAATAATGTTCATTTGATTTAGTGTGTGTCGAGGCGATGGAACTGTCCAACATCTGTTCTGAAATTCACAGTTTAAACTTAAAGTAAAATTCATCACAGTTTGAAT